TCATGGTGTCCACACCTTGAATGCTGTAATTATACTAATTATACTTTTAAACTTGACTTGCCAGACTTTATGCTCCTTTCTATTTTCCTCAGTAGGTTTTGACTTCCAAATTTTTTTTGCCTCTAATCGCCTCTTTACTCCATTGTTTAGCCATGGTCGCATTTTTTTTGGTCCTCTCGTTTAAAAAAAAAAATTATTTGGGGTATACATTTAGTTTGAGTCTCTGTTATGGGGATTTTAGTAGTTTCCCTGCAACTTGCAGGCATTTCACCTTTGTGACGGTTCCTATTGATTTCCACTTAAATAGCTTCCTCATTTTTGTGTGGTTCCCCTTTTTGAAGTTAAATGCTACTTGGTGAGTTTCTTTGGTATTTTCCCCTTACACGGATGTTACATTTAATTACATTATGGTTGCTATTACTGAGCTCTGCGGCCAGATCCTGTGTACCACTTAGGACTAAATCCAGAATTGCCTCTCCCCTAGTGGGTTCCAGGACTAGCTGCTCCAAGAAGCAGTCATTAATGGTGTCTAGAAATTTTATCTCTGCATCCCATCCTGAGGTGACATGTACCCAGTCAACATGGGGATAGTGGAAATCCCCCATTATTATTGGGTTTTCTGTTCTTAGCATTTCACCATCCTGGCCAGATGGTCATTCCTATTGTTATATTCTTATTCAAGCCTGGAATTTTTATCCAGAGATTCTATGGTACACTTTTTTGTTGCATTTAATATTTTTACCTTATTTGACACTATGCTTTCTTTAACATACAATGCCACTGCCCCACCAGTATGACCTACTCTGTCATGTCTATATATTTTATACACTGATCTTACCCATTGATTATCCCCCATTTCACCAAATTTCTGTGATGCCTGTTATATTAATATCCTCATTTAATGTCAGACTCTGCCCATCTAATGTGGACAGAGTTGGCATAGAGGTTTGCATGTCCTCAACTTAAATTTCTCAACACATCAGTGATCTACAATCCATCCAAAACAATGATCTGTCGCTTTCACAGACCTTGGGAGGCAGGCCAGTCCTCACCCACAGACAACCCACCAACCTTAAGCATGTTCTCACCAACAACCACACACCATACCATAACTCTAACTCGGGAACCAATCCATGCAACAAACCTCAAGGCCAACTCTGCCCACACATCTACACCAGCAACACCATCACAGGACCTAACCAGATCAGCTACAACATCACCAGTTCATTCACCTGCATGTCCACAATGTTATATATGCCATCATGTGCCAGCAATGCCCCTCTATGTACATTGGCCAAACTGGACAGTCACTATGTAAAAGGATCAATGGACCCAGGTCAGATATTGGGAATGGCAATATACAAAAACCTGTAGGAGAACACTTCAACCTCCCTGGCCACACAATAGCAGATGTAAAGGTAGCCATCTTACAGCGCCAAAAAAAAAACAAAAAACTTCAGGACCAGACTCCAAAGAGAAACGGCTGAGCTTCAGTTCATTTGAAATTTGACACCATCAGATCAGGATTAAACAAAGACTGTGAATGGCTATCCAACTACAGAAGCAGTTTCTCCTCCCTTGGTGTTCACACCTCAGCTTCTAGCAGAGGACCTCACCCTCCCT